TACGAAGAGGTACTTCTTTTGCAGCACTAAGTCCAAACACTACAACGATGAATATACAAAGTGCGTAAAACATCTTGTTTGTTGAAAATTTATCCGTGAATAGTCCAGTCAGTTGTAAGCGTTGGTTTTATATAAGTTCCGTCGTGAAGATTTTTTTTAACAATGTATCGTGAGAATAAAGAAATAGATCAGAAAACTACTTATTTTCTTCAGCAAATATGCAAATTATTGAGAAATAAAATGTTTACTTGTATTGAACATATAATCTTATATGTATGAGTTCTTGTTACCTGTCTATTAAACTAATATTACTATAAATTCTTTTAATCGTGCGAGACATACAATTATACATGCGATTTACAAATAGCCGATTACTTATATGTAACTTACAATTTATGAAATTTAAAATTTTTAATGTTTGACCTCATATTTGCATGATTTTTGTATGATTGAATATATATCAAACTTTTCACTAAATTTAAATTTATGTTCTAATGAATGTCTTCAAAAGTATGTAGGTATTGCGGAAATATTGTCGTAAATGAAACTGTCGAAAAGAAGCAATTGACCAAATCACACAAGCATAGGTTCCATATTTTGGTTGTTAATCGGTAACATTATCGATATAAAGACGACCAATATTCGTGTGCAAAAATCACGGTAAAATCATCTGAAAATATATAACGAAGTGCTTTCCAGAATAAAGACAACTAATAATCGAGACAAAATTTGAATAAAACTGCATTATATTTTCAAAAATATATATAAAAATTCATAAACGTTTACTTTGTAAAGTCACGAGTTTTTAATTCTTAAAATGGTGAAATATATTTGTATTAGCTTGCTCCCTGAGCTCTTTATTGCCATGGAATAAATCTACAAAATACAGCTTTATTTTTTTAATTGAAGAAGCTGCATAGAAATGTTCTACTGTCCATCTATCTTATTTGCCATTTGGCCTTTTATAATCCTCGCTCCTTCGAGATCTTCCATAGTTATTTACCATAACAAAAACTTGGTATCTTTATTTTTTTTTATATATTTAATACTTTTAACATTTTTAAATACTGGAAAAATTTTTAAATATCCAAAAAATTAATAGCCTTTTAAGTATTTTGTAACTAACTAATACAAACTTTTTTAAAAATTGCAACGAAATAAAGATTACTCTGATATATTGCAACATTTATTAGTTTGATCATTAAAACCGTGCGATACAATTACACATGTGACTTACAAATAGCCGATTACTTATATGTAACTTACAATTTGAGAAATTTAACATTTTTGTTATTTGACTTAATTTTGGCATTTGCATGATTGAATGTATATTAAATTTTTTGCAAAATCTAAATTTATTTTATAATAAGTATCTCAAAAAGTATATAAGTATTATGGAAATATTTTCGTAAAAGAAACTTTCGAAAAGAAGCGATTGGCCAAGTCACACATCCACGGATTCCACGTTTTTGCTGCTGTTGGCAACATTGCTCGATATAGTGACGGCCAAAATGCATTTATAAAATTCACGACAAAGTCATCTGCAAATAAAAATTTATATGTAATAATGTAATTTCCAGAAAAACTGATCACGACAAAGTTTGAATAAAACAGCTTTATATTTTCGATAAAATATATATAAAAATTAATAAACGTTTACTTCGTAAAGTCACGAGTTATTAATTTTTAATATGTGTGTAATATATCGTATTCAAATTAATGTACTCACTGAATTCTTTATTGTCGAGTATATCAAAGTAGAGCGTGAGTTTTTTAACCGCAGGAGCTGCATAAAAATCTTCTACAGTCCATGTATCATTTGTTACGTGGCCTTTTATAATCCATTCACCTTGCAGACCTTCCATAGTTATATTGAATGGCCCTGCCGCATAAATTATAATAGTAATATAAATATAACATTATAATGTTTTTCGATTATAAAAAATGCACAGAGTGAATTATTTTACCTTTGCCACTTATTCTGATCCCTGCTAGAATACATTCTGTTTCAAGTTCACCAGTACCAACTATTTTTGGTATTTGTACGTTAATATTCAAGCGAAAAACTTCGTCGGCAAAATGCGATCTCACACCCAAAAAACTTGTTTTTGCTAAACCCTCACTAATGAAATTTGATACGTTTACTATTCCATGTACTTCACCTTTATCAAATACTGCTTTACCATATTCATAAAATAATGGATCCAAAGGTGGAGAATCGAATTCTGGAAGACCTGTCATAATAAATAAATCATTATTAGTATCGGTATCTTGATATATAATCACGTATTAAAATTAATGATATATATATTAAAATTTTTTTTATTTTGTCGAGATATAATTTAATCAATTTACAAAAATTGATAAAAGTTGTATTACTATTGTAATTAGTTTAACAAACATTTTAAAGATACATATATGCATTTTTAAGTTATTAGGAAAACATGTAAATTATATAATCAAATTAATTGTTTTTAAAGCAGTATACCTGTAACAAATTGTGGCCACGCTTCCTGTATCGCAGTTTTTAAACAGTCATCGAAATTAACTGTATTCCGTTTACAGAGGGTGATAGGTGCTAAGTAGAAATAAAAATAGATTAGAATAACAGTAGAGAGAGAGAGAGAGAGAGAGAGAGAGAGAGAGAGAGAGAGAGAA